GCAGGTTTGGGCGTGTCTGAGGCCCGTCCTGTGTTTCCTCCTGGTGGCTCCAGGGCCCAGCAGCTAGAACCTGCGGTGAGGGGACCAGCAGCGGGGCCAGCATTTACCCTCAAACAAGACCTTTGGCCGAATCTGTTCTTTTCCTTCCATTCCCTCTGCCCTCCCCTTGTAGAGCCCCTTCCTGTTCCTCATGCCCCGAGGGCCGGGGAGGGCCTTTGTGCGGTGACCTGCTCCTTAAGGCCCACCCCTTGGGGCAGTGACCCTGACCCGATTGACACCGGTCCCTGCTGCTGTGCTGCCACCTGCTGGCGAGATGGCAGACGGCGCAGGCAGCCCCGAGGGGCGGCAGTGCGTCCCTCCTGTCAGCCCTGTGCTAGGATCTGTCTTCTGCACCCATCACCCACCAGCAAACCGACTGGCCCGTGTCCCTTTTCCTGGCATCGTTTTCTTCCCGGTGGCCATTGTTAAACACAAACCCATGTGCCAGGGACCGTCCATGCCAGGCGAGCAGAGGCCTTCACCCCCATGTCGGGTCTTCAGGGCATGGGGCGGCGGGGGGCGGGGGGGGCTGTTTCCTGGAGAGACTTGTGCAGAGAGCAGGTGACCTGGGACTTCAGAAGACCTTGTCTGTGGGGCTCTCTTCTTGTCCTGTACCCCTCCCCCCCACCAATCCCTGGGACTCCCTCCCTCCAGCCAAGAGCTTGTTTTTCCATCCGGAATCCCAGCCACCCATGGGCACGCCGCCCCCCCCTCCCCCCCAGTGAGGAGTGACTCCCTGTCCTTTCTCCGCAGTGGGCTACGGCTCCTGGTTCGAGCACGTGCAGGAGTTCTGGGAGCACCGCACGGACTCCAACGTGCTCTTCCTCAAGTATGAAGACATGCACCGGGTGAGTGTGCGGCGCCGGAGCCAGCGGGAGAGCCTGGGTGGTGTGGGCCCTGCCCCCCGTGGTGGGACTGACTGGAGCGTCCGAGAGCCCCCTGGCCTCAGGTGTGCCCAGACCTGCCCCCCTTTGCCCACTGGAAGCCCCGTTTACCAGAAGTCCTCACTGAACAGTGTGGATGGGCTCTGTGGCCAAGTGAAACGACTTACGATGACGCCCATTATCACTACTGGAGGCTGATGGATATTAGTAAGAGTTAAGTTCCTACATCAGTGCTACCATGGAACAAAACTGAACACAGGGATGTTGTTATGCAAGGATCGGCTGTATCCCCTGGGAGCCAGTGGCGGCCGCGGGGAGCCGCGGGAGGGCTGCGTGGGGAGAAGGTGTGCACGCAGCTCCGGGACCCATGGCTGGGTCAGGCCGCTCCACAGTCAGGAGCAGCGCGCTGGGCCAGCTGTGAGTGGATCCGGCCTCAGACCCAGCCAGCTCCTTCCTGCTGAGGGCAGGCAGCCTGGGCCTGTCGGGAGGATGGGGAAGAAGAGAGTGAGCCGGTGGGCTTTTACTTCTTGCTGCTGTTTTACAGTGGCCACAGCGACATCTCGCTCCTGTCTGCTTCACATTCCCGGGGACCTGGGTTTGAATCCCGGAGCTGCCGCTTGAGAGTGGCCCTTGGGCCACTTCCCAACCCGGGGTTTTATTTCCACTTGAGGCCCATCTCAGACTGGGCTCAGCACCAAGTACAGCTCCTCGAGGGGTCCAGCCAGCGGTCAGTAACGGCACCACCTCTGCTCTTACCTTCCAGGACCTGGTGACGATGGTGGAGCAGCTGGCCAGGTTCCTGGGGGTGTCCTGTGACAAGGCCCAGCTGGAGTCGCTGATCGAGCACTGCCACCAGCTGGTGGACCAGTGCTGCAACGCCGAGGCCCTGCCAGTGGGCCGGGGTACGCGCCCTTGCCGCCCCTGCCTCTGCCCAGGGCCCGTGGCCCCCCACCCCCGCCCCACTTCAGTGTCCCGCTGCCCGTGTCTTGCTTCTCCAGAGCCCTCTGCTGTGCGTGGGGCGCAGCCACCTGGAAGCTGGGCCGTGCAGCTGTTTGCGTTGTGACGGAGCACAGGAGGGCCCCCCGGGCACGTGCCAGGCTCTGTGGGCACGATGTTCTCAAGCAGGTGTCTCCCCAGATGGCCCCACAGAGCAGAGCCCGGATGGTCCGGGCGGTGAAATCGCAGAGCCCACGTGTGCAGATGGATTCCCCAACCTGTGGGCCCGGGGAGGGCGTGAGTTCCCGTGAGGAAGTGCCGGTTCCTGCACGCACCAGGAGTGCCAGCGGCAGTCAGGGCAAGCCCGGCCGGGCAGGGGGTGAGAGCAGAAAGCGCAGGCCCCGGGCTGGCTTCTCCGGGAGCTGCTCTGGGGCAGGCAGCAGTTTGAGATGGAGGAGATGCTCCAGGCAGGAGTCCTCTCCCGGCCCCGGGGCCCTCCGTGTCCTCAGAGGAGCTGGGGCAGGAGAGCCCCGTGGTCCCCAAGGGGTTGCTGTGGCCGTGGGAGAGCAGGGAAAGGGGCACAGCCTGGTGGTGGTGACCTGACGCTGGTTCCTGGGTGGTGAGTCTGGAGCTTTCTCAGGAGACGACAGTGCTTGAGGGAAGGGGAAGAGGTGCCATCAGATCCACGGGAGACCCTGGGTGGTGGCGGAAGGGTGGGCTCCCTCACAGCTGCCACGCCCTGGGGAGGGGCCTTCGGTCAGGCTCTGAGCTTGGACAGCCTTGTCCTCTCTCTGCAGATGCAGAGGGCTGGCCATGGCTGCCGGGGCTCCCGGGCTGCTCTGAAGGTCAGGGGCACAGTGCCCTCCTGTAGAGGCAGAGCGGCCTGCTCTTCCAGGAAGAAACAAACCACAGCGCCTCGCGTTTGTTTCCTGGCTGCATCCTCACAAATGTTTATGGTTTACATTTTTTTTTGCTCGTTTTTAGTTTTGCATTTGCTCTGTTGCCTGTGGGTGTGACCGTCCCTGCGTCCCCCGTGGTTCGTGTGTGTGTGTCCCTGGGCTCCTTCCATGGATTTGCTTTGTCTTGTCGCCTTGGTTTTGCTTTATTTCAGTTCTTTGATTTTGTTTTCTTTTAGCACATTGCCTCTGTGCTCGGAAGACCTCCTTGCGCTGGTGAGAATGCAGGGCCTTGAGTAGCCAGCTGCATTGCTTAGATTTGATTCATATCCCAGCATAAATTCACTGTCTTGATTCCAAATCCTAAACCAGGTGGGTGACTCCTCTGATGCGCGCTCAGCTGCCTCAGCTGAGAAAAACAATCATGGAAAAGTTATTTATAGTGGCTTGGTCTGCAGGCTCCTGATTTCCTCCCTTGGGTACCATTAACGGGGAGCAGAACAGTTCCTCTTGTTTTTCTCCTCCCCACACTGACGTAATCGTCATGGCCAAAGAGGAACCCTGTCCTGTTGGGGTGTGAGCTCCGCACTCGCAGGGGTGGGTTGGTCCCGAGGTCCTGCCGGGGGTGAAGGAGGGGTGTTTGCTCCGACCTCGAGCTCTGATCTCGGAGATGCTGAAAGGGTTCTGAGCAAACATCTTAGTCCCCGAGGCCGTTCCCGAAAAGCACGGGGACAGCTGGCGGGTCACAGCTCCCCAGCTGGGAGGTCTGCACCCCACTCCTCGCATCTTCACAGTCACCGTTAACGTTTTATTTTTATTTGTTAATCCTCACCCAAGGACATTTTTTCCATTGATTTTTTTAGGAAGAGTGGAAAGGAGGGAGGGAGGGACGGGGAGAGATAGAGAAAGATCAACTGGTTGCCTCCCGCTGGACATTTTTTCCATTGATTTTTTTTAGGAAGAGTGGAAGGGAGGGAGGGATGGGGAGAGATAGAGAGAGAAAGATCAACTGGTTGCCTCCCGCTGTCTGGCGCCCAGACCGGGGCTGGGTGTCGAACCTACAACCCAGATATGTGCCCTTGATCAGGAATCCAACCGAGACCCTTCAGTGCCTGTGTCGACACTAACCATTTAGCCACATCAGCCAGGGCACCATTAACCCTTTGAGTGCCAACCAATATCCTAGGAACTATGCTAAAATTGCCAAGGCATTTTTGCTGATTTTACAGCAGTTTAGGAAAAAATTATGAATTGCAAGTAAATGAGGTTACATATTCAAAAACTTAAGGAAACTTTTACTACATTGACATATTTAGCAATATCCTCATCACTAATCAAAGCAGACTTAGAACTGGACGCCATTTCGAAGCTTTGATAGCGCTCCCGGCACTTTTGGTGAAAGACAGGATGAGCGCTCCCCAGCACTCAAGGGGTCAATATCTGTCCAACCAACTGCAGCTGTTGTAGTTGACAGGAAAGTGGGTGGGCTCTGCAGTTTGAGTTTTTTTGGGCTCTGTCTCCCAAGCCTGCTCCTGCCTGCTGGCCAGGGTCACAGTTTTTGACCGCCTGCTGCGCTGCAGCCCCGGCGGCCAGGGGTGGCCCTGACTCGCTTGGTGTGGAGTTGGGAGTCTGGCTGCCGCACACGCTCTGCATCCAGGCAGGAGAGCTGGCGGGCACCTTGACGGCCATTCCTCCCGGGCTGCGCGCGCAGGCTTCTCAAAATCTCCCTCCTTGACCTGGAGGCCACCTGCTCGCCTCAAGGGTCTGCCTTTGGATGGTGTTCCCTTCTCGCCGTCCGCAGAAGCAGGGGCCCCTTGGTGGGGCTGTTGAGCCGTGAGTGGGGACATTCGGAAACCCCACTTCCCCACGGTCCACAGACCTGGCCACACTCCCTGTGCTGAGAATCGCACTCAGAGCCTGGGTGCGGGG